TTATTAATTATTGAATTATCTTTCTAAACTTTTTTTATTAAGATGTACCTGTCCTTGTATCCAGGTTGGTTTAAAGCATGATAAAGGCAAAAATACAAGTCTTAGATTGATAAAAAATATTAAAAGTATACTGGCCATCTGAATATATTGAAAAGGGATCTGCTGTATTTCAAGAGCATACAGTTGTATGTGTTAATCTATTCAGTATTGCAAATACTCGGACTGCTTAACAATCAAATTTTGAAGACAAAGTCTTGTAATTAAATGCATTTGATCAATGCTTATAGAACATTCTGTTTACCTTATCTTCAGATCTGGAATACATTTATCATTTGTTTATTGTGTGTTGAAAGTTTTGATAGTGTCACCATTGTATCTTTCTTTGTAGTAAAGATATAATCATAGAGAGCATCTAAGGCCTCAGTTCTAATGCTACTGATTGTATAATACATGTGATTCAAGCTCACGAGGGATTCGATATCAAAATCTATTTAAACTTTATTTTTCTATTTTTTTCTCTAAATTTTGATACTTTTTTGGCATCACGTTTTGTAGCTCTGCGCTACATGTCGTCTACAGTAGATGTATTAATGTACATGTGTATATCTAGAGAATTTTGTACCTTTTGATAAAATATGCTATATTGTATACTTAAAATTCAATGTTTTTCCCAGAGATGGGAGTTCAGCCATAAAGATGTCCAGCTCCTTGTAAGTTTTGTTTTTTGAACATTCCATTTAGGTGATACATGAAAGGTTTATTAATTCTAAATTAGAGCCTTTCTTAATAGCAATATGTATGATAATCAAACAGTACACAAAGATGATGTATATTTGACCAAATTACTTTAACCCGTTTTGTATTTGTTTTCTAACAGGAGGATCCCATGAGGCCATGCAGCTTGATCCACACAGACGCCCGCGGTCGTTCAGCGAGTCTCTCCACATCAACGTGTTTCCCTAGCCCACCATGCTCGTAGGGACCCCTTCTCCTACCATGGTCTGAAACCGAAAAGTAGGTTCAGGAAATAATGTATAAACATTTTAAAGTTTATTTAAGTTTGAATTAAACTAGCATCACATTTAAAGGTGCTTTTCCTTAAAATAGTTTGTTGATAGTTTAATGACAATAGTTAAATAACAATGTAATTTTTTTTAAATGTGACCGAATTACCTTCACTTGTAGCAGTGTTTCTCACAGAGAGTTACCCTTCTTGTAGCAATGTTTCTCACAGAGTTATCTTCACTTGAAGCAATGTTTCTTATAGAGTTATCTTCTCTTGTAGCAATGTTACTCACAGAGTTTCCTTGTCTTGTAGCAATGTTTCTCACAGAGTTATCTTCTCTTGTAGCATTGTTTCTCACTGAGTTATCTTCTCTTGTAGCAATGTTTCTCACCGAGTTATCCTCTATTGTAGCAATGTTTCTCACTGAGTTATCCTCTCTTGTAGCAATGTTTCTCACTGAGTTATCTTCTCTTGTAGCAATGTTTCTCACTGAGTTATCTTCTCTTGTAGCAATGTTTCTCACAGAGTTATCTTGTCTTTTAGCAATGTGTTTCTAACAGACAGAGTTATTTTTTTGTAGCAATGTTTGTCACAGAGTTATCCTCTATTGTAGCAATGTTTCTCGCCTTCTTCTCTTTACTAATGATTCTCACAGAGTTATCTTCTCTTGTAGCAGTGTTTCTCACGGAATTATCTTCTCTTGTAGCAATGTTTCTCACAGAGTTATCTTCTCTTGAAGCAATGTTTCTCACAGAGTTATCTTATCTTGTAGCAATGTTTCTCACAGAGTTATCTTCTTTGTAGCAATGTTTCTTGGCGCCGTCTATGCAGATGCCAGTCAAAAGTAACTCCTTCACTCCCATTCCTAGCCTAAGTCCTACCAGAAAGTCATTTATGAGGTAAAATTTCAGGGAAAGGTAACTCCACTCCAATAGGATAAGCCTTTGTCATATATCATACCAAAAAATCATTTATGAGATTAGATTTCAGAGAAAAGTAACTCCTTTACTCCAATAGGCCAAGCCTTAGTCATGAGTCATACCAGAAAATCATTTGCGAAGCAGCTCCTCTAATAAACCAAGAAATAATTATCGCCATTACTTTGAGATTGTTTTGTGAAAATGTCTTATATTTTTAGAGCACTTTATTATTGTATTATCTTTTCAGAAGTTTGAGTCCCTTAGCTGTCAGACCTAGTCCAGTGGGGAAAAGAAAACTTGAGTAACAGTTTTTAAACTATACTTTATGATTTAGAAGAAAAAAAACTTCAATGCAAAATAGCAATATGTTTCACCCTGTGTAATCCTTGATGTTTATTTGAAATATATATTTTTTCGCAGTTGTGTGTTAGGACCAGGATTTCAGATATTTGCTTGTTTCTCACAATTTCACTTTAAATACATTTAATGAATTAAATAAGCCTTATTTGATTTCTGTAATTGTATTTCTTTCCATTCACCAGTGAATACTGACATGGATGTTTTTATCTGAGTCCTTCCAAAAGGTTTCATACTGGACTCATTACCCCAGACCGCATCATGGCTCACCCCCTAGCACACAGGTAAAATCTGTCAACCCCCCCCCACACACAGGACCCAGTACCCCAAACCGCATCATGGCTCACCCCCTAGCACACAGGTAAAATATGTCCCACCTCGACCCCAAGATGTAAACTCATCACTCCATACCACAGGCCTTTGGATCGCTTAAAAAAATTGTGTGTACAAAAAAAATAAAGGTATGGAATTCTTACACTGGGTACCCAATTTTGCTAATAAATTTTTTTTATTCTAGTGCTCTAAAATTCTACTTTCTATTGAAATCTGTTCATAGATAAACATTCTTCAATTCAACCAAAGCTCATTCCGAAATTCCATATATTTCTTGAGATATTCCGAAATCAATTTCAAAAATGACCTACTTTCTTTTCCTCGACATTAGCTTGGGCCCACGGTCATTCACATGTAAACAGACGGTGTTTGAAGTGCAGCGAAGAGTTGCATAGTATTTGCAAGATATTTCAACAATTTAAAGTTGATTTCCAACTCCAGATTGTAACGTTAAGTCCGTAATAATTCCTTTTGCGAAAATTTAATTCAAAAGTCCAGATCAACAACTACACCGCACTGTTGATCATCAATGTAAAAGAAGCTATGATAGAACGAATTTTTCCTGGAGTACATAATATACCTATCGATTTTCAAAACAATTAGACAGCTTAAATGTTGTTTTCGACTTATTAAGATCATAAGATCAATTAAAAAAAAACTTTGTAAAGCTCGAATGCAAGTGAGCAAATATCTATCGAGTTAAGATTTTGTTAAGAATTCCGGGGAAAATTTGTTCCGTCGGCCCCGCTTTACAATTAGTGAAGGCCCAAGCTGATGTCGAGTAAAAAAATTAGGTCAATTTGGGAATTGATTTCAGAATATCTCGAGAAGTATAAATAATTACGGAATGAACTTTGGTAGAAATGAGGATTATTTATATTTGAATAGATATGGATAGAAAGTAAAATTGTAAAGCATTTGATTTAAAAGAATTTTATTAGCGAAAGAATGTATTCTTTGAAAAGAGTTGCAAATCTTTATTTTTTTTCAACACTACGATTTTTTTCTAAGCCATCTGAAGGCCTGTTTGCACAACACATAGAAACACATTTTTTTGTATATATACAACACGTAAAAAACATATAAAACACACATACAAAATATGTACAATATTTGTTTTATTAACACATAAAAATAAACATACAAAGTATGTACACTGTATCTATAAAAAACATAAAAAGCACACATATGTATATATATATACTTGTATACAACACATATATACAATATATATATATATGAATATAAAATATATATATGTTATATACAAAATATAAATATATATAAATAAAACAAACATTTTTTATATGTATACAACAAATAAAACACATATACAATGTATGTATATACAACACTAAGAAACACACATACATGTATTTAATGTATCAGATAGCTAATTCAACATTATTTGACTCCTACTTCGTAAATAAAAATAGTGAAATAAAAAAATGTCGAGTCAGTTTACATACAGATTATGAATATACCCTTATTTTGTAGAAATAATTATAGTATAAATAGATAGACCACTTATCAATAAAGATACTAGTAAGTTGCTACATGCGAAGAAGAAAAAATGCATGCAAGAAAAAACCCTAGTATTCACGATAATTTCTTATACGTAGTTTGGTAGTTGACTAGTTGTATACATTCACAAAAAAAAAAAATCTGGCAGTTGCATGTATCCATTGATTTAACCTGACATTTTGAGACATAGAAAAATTCAATTTCTTTCGAATATGTGGAAGTATTTCTACCTGAGTATCGGGTATTCTTTTTCTTGTTTATAAATCGTCTGCGATTAGTACGAAAACTTTTTTTTTTTTAAAGTAAAAAAAAAATTGCTTGAACTGCTAAAGCAGCATTCTAAATATTCCTCTACAAATCGTATGTAATTAATTTACTTTTTTCATAATAATTAAACTGATTTTAATTCAGTTCTACATTTTAGAATGTTCAGAGAGAGAGAGAGAGAGAAAGAGAGAGAGATTTTACTTTCAAGTTCATCTATCCGGTTTTTTTTTCCACATTCTCACATACATAATATTTGTACCTCTAATTTTTTTTTTTTCTAGAAAACAAATTTCCCGGATATAGATGATTTGCTAATTCTCGTGTTAATTAGTGTACAGAGTCACTTCTTGGTCAATATATTTCATACCTGTTCAGAAATGCAGTAATTTCCAAAGTTAATGTATTTCTCGTAACAGCAAACATTATTTTCAAAGACTAGTGTTTACTATTTATGTTATTGCAAGTACTTATTTCAATTTTTTAAATTTTAATCAGTTTTTCTTTTCTTGTCAAGTGTGTAAAAAGCAATGAGAGAGAGAGAGAGAGAGAGAGAGAGGGAGAGAGAGAGAACTCCCTCTGACATAGTCTGTTACTATTTTTTTTAATTCTTCGTTTTATTTAGGTTACGGAAGTCAAAATTAATCATTCTATAATTCTAATTAATTTCCACAACTTTGGTTCATATTAAACCCATTTAATGCAATGAATCATGTGTATGCTGTATGCACGAGATTCTTGTGCATCAACTCATTCACCTGTCAATCAAAATCGCATGACGCTAGGTGACCTTGAAAGTCTGTTTACGCGGAAAGAATTTCTCTCGTGATTTGAAACATTCTCATGGTCAGTTCCGAGTTCACACCTGTTTTAAAAATATATTGGGTCCCTGCCGGTGGGCCAGGGGCGCCATATGTTTATCACACCTTTCACATTCTTAGTTCTGATCACAGCAAGTGTATACATGTAACACACTCAACTGATATCAAACGAAATTCATCTTCCAGGTTTCACTACAACAATGAATATAAACTTACATGTACTATGTTAATTTTTTTTTATCTTTTTTCAGACACAAATAAGCATGTGTTAAGATTTTTAAAAACTTAAATAAATTGCTGACTTCTGATAAAGTTTTAATTAGCCGATTCGTATCACTTTCTAGAAGGGGTAGGTGGGAGGGGGGGGGGATAAAACCATTTCTAAAATTGCTAAATATCTATGTTTCCGCCGCAAACTGATTTTTTTTCTTTTCATTTTTCATACGATTTACATTACTGAATGAAGTAATATTGTACTGAGGTTAGTAGATTTTATTTGCCAAAAATTCTGCTGGTGATTTTTGTATTCAGCGTGTAAGTTGATCCCTACTTAAATTAATAAAATTTATCAGATTATCATCTCTGCCTGTTGAGTAGATTTTGCCATATTTAATATTTATTTCCATATTTTACATTTAGTATAGGTTTTCAGTGTTTATAACTGAATAATCCTTATCGTAACCAATGATTTGCCGAGTAATAATCACTTCAAAGAAATTGATACACTTTGATTTAGGTAAATGATAGGACATGGAAACTGCGCAAATTTAAAATATTAACCGTCTCTTTTGATGAAAAATTAATTATTTTTTTAAGTGATCATACCTTATTTACCTAACACTTTCTGAAGTTTAGTTTAAATATGTCAATCATTGAGTGACAAAATGTATTTTCAAAACATGTGTACAGTCATGTAAATTACGAATTAATGCTTTCTGAAAAAGAACGTTTTAACCTAGTATAATTGAGTACATGTACGAAGCAGTAGTAACACACACATTGTTGAAATTATATAAATTTTTGAAGGGGGGGGGGGGGGTTAAAAGGTTTTTCAAACAGGGGATTGAAGGGAAAAGAGTTGTAATTATAATATACTTTTTACATATACATGTAATTAAACAACTCGATAGGATATAGGATGAAGTATGGTTTTTAAACGTGGGAGGTTGATCAACCTAGGAAATGTATTTGTATGGATTACCTGAAAGTTTTTGTAAAAGAAAGGAAAATATATCTCCGAACCCGAAAATCCTATTTTGTAAAGGGGGTGGGGTTTCATTTTGTTTTCGCAACCAAACTTCTTTATATATTACAACATTAGGCTTTCAGTTAACATATCTATATTTCTATAGTAAAAACACAACAAAAAATTGGGACTTCCTTCTTTCTGTTTTTTTTTTTTTTGTGCAAATCCAAGGGTGGTGTGTGTGTGTGTTGGTGTACCCCCCTCTGAATCCGCCACTGGTATCCGAGAGAGAGAGGGAGAGATTTATAAAAGTGGGCTTTATGTTTCATACTGTCTTTTTAATAACCCCACAAGTAATTTTAAAATGAATTATTTTTCGTCTGTTTTTGTTACATTATTAGAGAATTTTTGTTATTATATACATTGTATATAAAATATGTAACAGGTAAATGTATATAGAAATCGCAGTGAATGTGTAACACAGGAATTTTAAAAGAACTGAGCCATGCAAATTTTTAATATTAAAAAAATCAAGGCGGGATGTACATGTAATAGTGAAAATAGGGGAGGGGGTCAACAATAATATGTGGGTTACGTCAGGACCAGGCACGTGTGTATAGAGGTGTGTCATCTTGTGTTCAATCGCTACGGGTGTAACTAATACAGGGTTTAGGCCTAAGAGGTTATACGCTACCGACGCATTAAGACGATGGAATTCTTTCGACATTATTATAGAAAAAGAATAAATAGGAAATAGAAGTATAAAGTAAACATATTAGAATAATGTATTATCCATTACTATACTATCTAAATAAA